TATCATCTTTAATGTCTTTAAAAGCATCCCAAATGTGTACCTCAGTACGCGCAAAGGTATGCGAGATGCACAGAAGTTATTTGGTTAACCGCATCTGGCATGCGAACAACAGTAGAAATACTTGCTTCACGCTACTTTCTATCAGATGAGTAATGATTATATTTCGATTGCTTTGCATCGCCATACATCCAACACAAAGTACCTAGAAACTCCAAGTTAAAGTATTGATGGTCCGTCCTCACAAAAAATCATCACAGGCAAGAAATTAATGTTTTGTACTGAGAACAGCCATTACAACACAATTTAAAGTAATTCTCATAAGCCAGTCTGTGCCGCATCAATGGTCATCCGAGTGAACGTTAATCTTGCAGTAATCGTACACTTGAGTATCTTGCTCTTGGAGCGGGGGGGGGGAGACGTTCGAGGCTCATCTTGGAATGGGCTTCCCCCTGGTGAGGAAAATGTTAAGATCACATAAAATACTTTGGTAATAACAAGTACTGCCCCATCCAGAGACAATATTTTGAGTTTTTTCCTCCATATCGGATCAACTACTTGATAACTGACATAGGCCTACGCCGAAACATGACAGATAACCAAACAGATGGATATTACAAGAACGAATGCCCTACATTATTAATTAATAAGATGCAGCTCCCATTTTTCTCATACAATGTACATAACCAACCTTAAAGCATTGAGTGTTCATGAAAATAATTTCCATCACTGCATATCATGCCATGCTATTTTATCTAGAAATGTATTAATTGTTTTTTTTTTTTCATAATCTTACTTTACCTGTGGAAGCCGGTAAAGTGTAGTCCATATGGTCTGGGCTATCTGAGAGACCCCTATTATAAAGAGGGTTGTCTCTTATAGTGTAAATGTTTTCTTTCAACAGAGATTGTTTAGGTGGATTGGCAATCCTGGAAAGCGTTATATGATTTAACTGACTAAAGATACTAATATTTCAGGAAAAATTTTTCAAATGTTATTCGATATAATGATTTCGTTTTAGATACATGCATTTGAATGGATGAATCATTTTACTAACTCAGCCACCTGGTAAATTTGTTTAAATGTATTGATTATATGTGTTTTATCTTTTGGGACGATTCACAATCTGTGCTTAATATCATGGACCGACAAAAACATGTAGATGCAGTAACTTGTAGATAAGAAAACCATAAAAATGTATCTTAATCCCCTTGAACAATATGAATCACTATTTAGATTAAATGTATAGATAACATTTATAACCTTGTTTTCATTTCAATCTCTCACCTGTATCTTTTGTATATTAGCCAGGCCAGGGTAAAAACCGCCACAACCCCAACAACGGGAACGCCAAAGGTTGCAAACAGCTCCCAGGCTGAGAAAGGAGCAAATGTTCAATATAACGATGACGTAATTACATCAAGAGTCGGCAAACCGACGTAAAAAAATGTTTAGAAAAAATCATTTTATTATTTAAGTCCTCGCTGAATATTTTAATATTTTTTAAAAATTACGGTACAATTATCACAGTTAATGACAAGCATACATTGACAGTTACAAAGACACTCTATCGTCGTTTTTTAAAAGCTACTATGGTTAATCCCTATTATCTGTTTAGTGTTTCAAAATTGTTTTTTTAACATCATCTAAAATTACGGAAGCCGACTGGTGTCATGTTCAAAAACATTTACTCTCGAAATTTCGAGGAAGTATTTTGAAATTTGGACAAAAAAAATTATCTCGAAATTTCGAGGTAGTATTTTGAAAATTTGGGCAAAACTATTTTATCTCGAAATTTCGACATAGCTATCTCGAGATAATTGTGTCGAAATTTCGTGATACTAACCCAAATTTTGAGACAATATTTTCTTGTCTACATTTCAAAATACTAGGCTACCTCGCAAGTTCGAGATAATAATTTTTTTAACATGACACCAGTCGACTTCCGTTTAAAATTAACCTCAGTGACCGTTGATATGTTTCATTAAGATATCGATATATAAATATTACAATGATTTTTTAATAGCAGAGCGTTAATGTAAATAAAAAACTTACCGAGAAAATGTAGACTTCCACTGTAAACAAAGGCATTTTCGGACCCTTGCGTTGTGCGGGATAATTTGCCTGGCAAAAATAATAAAGCATTTAAAAAAATCTTGTGCTTAAATCATTGTTCATTGTTGTGGTGTACAATACATTGATGTTGTTAAGTAACGCTTAATGAGAAATTGAGAACTTCTTCTAGCAATACTGTGTAAGGAGAATTTGGGGATTTCTGAATGGAATTAACCCTGCGCAAAACTGTTCAGTTAATCCCCTGATGAAGACTGAGGAAGTTGACCGTAAAAAAAGGCTCCCCTCAGTTGTATATATTGTATGCTGAAATAACATACTACAAAATAAACTGGAGACATGCCTGAACAAGAAACTCCCATGAGGAGTGGAGATGAACATATTGCCATGGATTTAAGATTTAAACATGTAGGAAGACAGCGCCGAGGTGCATGTACATGAAAACTTTGAAATCCGTTTTTAGTGAATAAGTCAACGGTAAATAACAACTAAAATTTGATTTTCATTTTAGCGAAAAAACTCGAGACAGGTACACATCAAAAATGCCCTTATTAGCTGGAAACTAAAGCCTCGCAGGACTTTCACAATTTCAACAAGCCATAAGAAAACAAAAAGTAATATTTTAAATTGATGAGCATTATTAAAGACAGGGTGCAGTCGTAATATTGTATTATCGGTATCTGCTTTTGCTGCAAGAATTGCTTAGATTTCTCATTACCTGTTGTAGCACTATCACGTTGGTGCAGACGTGAGGAAAAACTTGATTCGACAGAAGTTGTTCCACCGTTGACCGTTGTCATCTCCCAAGTGTCGGTGGTGCCGATAAATGAAGGATAGTTCTTGGGTTTTGGAGTAGTTTGCACATTCAAGATTATTTTCTCTGTGGTTGTGGTTTGTATTTTACTGGTTGTGATTTTTGTTTTATCACTCGTACCCTTAATGTCACCCCCAACCGATGTTGTTGTCAGCAACTTATTTTCATGTGTAGTGGCACGCGTTGTCGTTGACATGGTCGTTGTTGCAACCGTTGTCGTGGCAACGGTTGTCTCGGTTACCATTGTCGTGGCAGCTGTTGTCGCGGCAACCGTTGTCGTGGCATCCGTTGTCTCGGCCATCATTGTCGTCGAAGCCGTTGTCTCGGTAACCGTTGTTACGACTGCAGCTGTGGATTTCTCTTGTGGTAACGTTGTAGTGATGGGTACAGGGGTGGTGGTGGTGGGTGGTGCTATTGGAGCTGTGGCGATAAACAATATATTATTTTGGATTGTAAAAGCACTGGATGCTCATACTGTCGTTTTTCTTCCCAAATATGGCTGGTTGTTTGCAAAGGTAAATTTTAAGAAAATAATGTTTTAAGATTTGAACTAAATTTATGAATACTATCCAGATGTTTTCCGCGCTCAGATAAATGTCACGAAAATGCATTGAGTTATTTAAAAATAGGCTAATGTTGAATTGCAGAAATGGTAGTGTATCATTTCACTGTCCGTACAGACATAACGACCTTAACAAAATATGGAGCGTGTGCTGAGTTCCCCTTACCAAACTGACAAATATACGGAAGTTTTAGTTCAGCGTTCTCGGCTACCCATCGAAAACCGTGATTCCAGGACAGTTTGCAGGCTTTGAAAGCGTCCGCTGTCTTAGAAGACGTGCGGTCCCAGTTTGTGTAAGCAACCCGGTTTCCTGAAAGTAAACATCCATATTTAAGCTAAACCATATATGATTTTAAGTAAAAAATCAACTGGAGTTATTTGCAATTAAGTGGACATATTAATTTTTTCTTTAGTGAACAATAAGGTAATTGCTCAGAATGATACATAATGATACATACTAAACCCCTTTTATGTCTCCTCCATCCCAGTGCATCACAAACTTGCATATTCCCGTTCATAGCAAAAGAGAATGCAACAAAGACTATCGGGTGTTCGTGATTTGGCCAAACAAGTCCGCTTTTATTAAATAAACTCACTATCCTAATAATTTTAACAATAATAACAATGTGGCAAATTGTTGCCTGCATTAAATGTTATGGCCTTAGGGATAAAAATTAAATATGAAATATTAACTAAGACTCATCATCCTAAAAATAATGATGAGACGAGTCAGCAAAAGTTATCATTTTCAAGCAATTTTGCACAAATTTCGTTTGTGGGGTTGCAAAGAGGCCCCCACCATGCAACAGTTATCGTAAGCTGTGGTCCACGATAAGCAATTATTTGACAACGGTAGTGCATCTTATTTAGCTTGTCTGATTCCAAAGGCAAGGTCAATGCATTGCAGGACTCTCAATACAATTCTACGTATGTACCGGCATGACAATGCTGTTAGCGGGTGGCCGAACCGAATGATACATAATGATACATACTAAACCCCCTTTTCACTGAACCGCGTCCTTGCTGCGTCCATTGTGCGATCGTGAAACTGGCATCGCTGTGGTCATACAAAGGAGGCACAAGCATCGCTTTGGCTGCAGAATGAATGCTCAATGATTGGTCAGTTGTCGGCACGTAAAGATTATTTTTTACTCTTAAACGGGGCCGTAATACGGACGCAGAAAGGACGCCGTCCAGTGTTAAAGAGTCTTAAATCATTTATCTTGAATTAACAATGTCTGACAACATAATCACCTTTTGAAATTTTCTGCTCATTAGTTGACAGGAAGGGGGGAAATAATGCCATTAAGCTTTAACATTCAGTGACAAAATAAATCCAGAAAGGTTAAAATAGTTCTTACATGTAAGTACACTGTGTAATAGTCCTGAATAATACAAAACAAGCTCTTCAGCATAAATAAACCCAAGGCAAAGCCATTAACCCCAGTCACTCACCATTATCCCAGGACCAGCTGTATGGCTCTGTCCTGTTCCACATGGCTCCTATCCAGTAGTTGTTGGCATATTCCTTCCTCTTATACACATTCTCCACATTCAGCAGAACAGACCTCAGGAATTCCATCGTAGCTTGGTTTTCAACGTGGGCAAGACGAGCCCCTCTCGAAGTACAGAACGTCCTGGCCATGTCCCAGGTAAACCCGTGCTTTCTTGATGAATAAGGTCGAAGTTCCAAACAGTAGCAGGAACCATTGAAATGGTGACCGTAGCTACACTTTGTTGTATCCGGGCATTTGTCAACATTGGCTTAAAAGGACAAAAAAAAAAATTTACTAGGTCATTTATCTAAAAGACAAATTTCATAACTTAGACTTGAGACCCGAAATTCAGCGTCATTACATATCAGGCAGGTCCACAAATATACGATTGATCCTCTTTTAAATCTTAATCTTGTATGATTTTGCAAGCAAATGTGTCGCCACAGATTCTATAATTCTTAGGTCCTGGCCCTGCTTTTTTTTTTTTTTTTTTTTACATCACGCTTATTAAGATTGTCGTCTGAAATACCATATTAACTCGAAAACTGTTCATTCTTACTAAATTCACAAACAGCAGACGACTTTTCCCAGTGTCCTTCTCGTACTCTGTGAACGCCGAGCTTGTTTGCTTCTTCGTCATTCCAATCGTAACGAAATTGCCGCCAGAGCATCACGCGGTCCTCCACGTGACCGTTGTTGTTCGGTTCGTTTGGTCCCCAGGACGTCCACTGCAGCTCCTGGCCGCCTTGAATGAAATATTTTCACAGACAAGATATACACTGTATTTTCCAGTGTGACAGGAATGGAAGTCCGGGTCCCATATGATGAGTACAGGTTAGGGTTAGTTGGAGTACTGGGGTTAGTATACTGGACGAATGTCACTTGTACAAAGTAATAGGAAGCGAACTACGGTTCCTAGCGGACTACCATTCATGTCACACCGGTTCTCGTTAATTTATTACATTTTTGTAGATATTACGGCTATTATAGAGTAAACAGTTATTGTTATATACATGAAGGTGTGTGTCATATTTATAATTTGAACCTCATTCGTGCAATTTTGATTTCAGCCTTGTTCTACACGCACCGCTATGCAGTACTTACAATTCTGGAAACCATTTAAATTATTTGAAATAAAATAAAAGGGACTGTTATAAGCTGTACGATTATTTTACTGAAAACCGACGTTTTCCATAAAATACGTGATGGTACCTGTAGGGGCGCATTCAATTCTCAGGAAGGTTCTTATACAATTATCTACTTACTGTCTGCCCAAAACCATCTCTTCTTTGAATATGCACCAATCCAGAAGTCCTGTGTATAGTTCTTAAGAACATTTCTGACACTTTGATCCATTTCTCTGTTTTCTATGGCAGCCAAACCACCTCCCTGATTCTTGCAGTAATGGCTAGCCTCTTGCCATGTTTGTCGGTGATTCATAAGTAGAAGACATTTCTGTCCGACAGCCAATGAGTCTGGCTGACTACAGCGTGGATCACCTGGCAACAGAAGAGAGACAGAACGAAAATCTATATACAGTCGTCATAATTTAATATATAAATGATAAATGCAATAAAAGTTAATAACTCATCAATATGAATTTACTCAGATATTGATTGATTTCAAAATGCGTATCTTTGTTAAGAAAAGTAATATAAATACTTATGGTCTCTTATTTATTTCCCCTAAAGCTGTGTTTATTTTCCTCACCGTGTAGGTCAAAGTCCCTCACAGAAAAAACCTTCGTTCAATGTTTTAACAATAGTAATACCGTTCTAATACAGTTCTTCACATGCCTTAAACCATCCACAGCATCACATGAACCAAGGTCTGTCATATAAACAATATACTCACCTTCAACGCCTAGTACGAGCAGTACAAACAGGAAGATAATAAAACAGATATGCATTTCTTCCAAAAGACCAATTAGTTTAATCCCAGCACATCATCTGAAAAACACTCAAATGAAAGAAACGGTTTTACTACAGTTTCAATTTTTGCAAACAATATTTGGTCAAAAAGCCAGTCAGTTATTGCAAAGCTTTCTGTGCAAATAAATGCCGTGACCTGTAAATTGACACATGATTTTCAAGATCTGGGACACCAATAGACCCCCAGTAGTTCACTGTTCCGGAAATCTGCCAACGATAATTGTTATCCTCTTCGCTGACAACAGCTGCATTGTTTGTTTCAGAGTGAATTTTCCCTTTAAAGAATGCAAGACTCCATCTCTGCACTCCCACTGTTTTAATTTTTAAAAACATTGTAGCGTTCTAAAATAATAACATGATTAAAAACATGACATATTAAAGATTTAATTTGACACTATTTTGTACCTTTCAATACACCTCATACTGGGCTAAAACTGGTTAGACCCCATTTCCATAGATTTTAGATCGATCTATCCCTGTGGGGAGTCTCACTAGATTACTGTCAGCTTAGCCGGCTTAAGCGTCTGTCCCGCCAATAAAAGCTGTAAGGGGGTAATTAACTATGGTGCCCGCTCGGCTGACTGCAATTTAGCGTGAAACCCCAGGGAGTTAGGTCGACCTAAATCTAAATCTCTGGATTGATCTAAATCTCTGGGAATGCACCCTTATTAGTTTAGTTATATAACGGTCATACGGGTGAATATTATCTCGGGGATGTTACAAGGTTATCATCCATTGTGACGAAGGCGTGAATCACTTTATTATACTTTACACGTAATAAACTAGATTACTGCCCTTATATACATTGTATCTAATCGTGTGGTGGTATCGTCCAACAATGTCAATAATGCCAATTATTATGATGACGTCATCAGGCTATTTAGGTCGTAATTTTGTGCGGTTTACTTTCGACCAGCTTCACAAATGTGAGCTTCACAAATGTGAGAGTACTTACAAAATCAAATAGATATAGATTTGTTTCACATGTGTGGACCAAATGAGTAAATTATGCCAATAAACGGACAAAGAAATAGATATTTGAAAAAGTACAGTAGAATGAAAGCAAATTTTAAGCGTCCATTGTCTTGGAATGTGCAGAGTTGTCCAAGGCTTACACGTTTTTGTTGAAACTGCATGCATTTTCTCGTTTTAGTTTTAGAAAAAAACAGGTATATTAATGATAACAATAAAAGTGGGTTTATTGATCACTAAATTTTTACGACTTTTACAGATTTTCTCATTTCTTCATTACATACTATCTATGTTAACAATGTTTTAACACAGCTCAGTCACTTAAACAACGTGAAATTTTCTCTTACAAAATTTACTTACATTATATATTATTATTTATGAAATTGTCACGAAAGCAAGACGCACTGACGAACATCGGTTCGTTTATAACAATAAGTACATAGATTTTTCATCTCATCTCATCTCAGTGAAATACAATGTATTAGCTCATTGACTATTTCATTTTACAAAGTACGGTAATTTATCGAACAATTTGTCCATGTGCATCAATTACTGTACAGATGTACAATCCCCTTCACTATCCTTTCTTTCTCAGATGCATTTTTGTAGACGCAAACAACTGAGAAACCAATTTTCATTCATTATGACTGGTGCACTGTTCTGTAAACTGATAATGTATTTAGTTACGTAACCTTCATTGTCACTCTTTACACAACGAACATTTATATTCTGATTTGTGTAAAATCTACGATATCGTAGATCTCAACAGTTCTTTCTTCGATGGAATGACAGCGGTTGACATCAAAGGATGTTTCTTCAGCTATTCTATCCATTCTGTAGTGTACGTCATCACCAAGCTGATTGCAGAAAGGACGCTTTCCTAAAATGTGTATTGTAAATATCTCAGACAGGTGAAGTATATATGTATGTACATAAAAAAGTGGCACAAGCCCAGTAGAAATGAAGAACTAAGAACTGGAGGTGGTAATTAAAATGGCCCACTGTTAGAGGGAGGACAGCTCTAACAGGGCAGGAGCACTCCCATAAGAAAATCTATCAAGGGAAATTTCAAATGAGGAAACAATTACCCATTTACGATACATGTCGATAACAATTTCATATTGTCATTTCCCTGTTTGAAATCACCCATGCCCCCCTCCCCCTGCAACACTGCGATTTCTATGACAAGAATTATATTGCAATAAAAAAACGGCATGTCATGTCGGCTTATTGGTTATGGCGTTTATAGTATTTACCTTTAAACGACGCCATGGCTTTGTTTCCCGAAGTGGGAGTATCCGCCAACCCTGTCTTATACATTGGGTTCTGAACGGTGGTGTAAATGCTTTCTTTCATTAGGAGGTGCCTTCTGTGCCCAGCATTGCTGAGAAATGGGAACATGTACAATTCAATCAGTCTCAACAGAAAGCAGTACAGTTTTAAAATTATGTGATTGTATAGTCACCTTATTTATATACAGTGTTTACACAAAATACTAGTTTCATTGCAGTATTTATCATTTAGCACAATAATTAGTGACAATAAGTCCATTTCCCCACGAGTAACTTACTTGTGTTTCTTGTATATGAACCAGGCCAGAGTGAAAGCGATGGAAACCAGCAGTACTGGGATAAATATGGCTAGAAATAGACCCCACACTGAAACCAACGACACGAGACGAACTTATTACCCAAAAAGCTAATGAAGTGGAGTCATCACTTTCATATACCCTTACAACTGCTAGATACATTGTTATATATCTTTTTTGTCCTGCTTCTTTTGAAGTGTTTGCGTATCAAGAATATAAAGGAAAATACAAAAAAATCTACCAAGTTGACTATTAATGAAATAAGCCTG